CTCACCCACCCACCCACCAATCTATCATTCACCCATCCATCCACCCACCCATCCATCCACCCACCCACCCTCCATCTATCCATTCACCAATCCATCATCCACTCATCCATTCATCCATCCATCCAGCATCTATCCATCCATCCATCCATTTATCTCCCACACACCCACCCATCCCTCCATCCCTCCCTCCCTCCCTCCATCCATCCATCCAATCATTCACCCATCCATCCACCCATCCATCCCTCCAATCATCCATCCATCCATCCATCCATCCATCCATCCCTCCAATCATTCACCCATCCATCCATTTATCCATCCATCCCTCCAATTATTCACCCACCCATCCATCCACACTCCCCCAATCATTCACCTCCAGCCTTTCTCCAAGCAAAGCCAGTCCTTTCCCTCCAGTCTGCAGTCCAAGCATTCCATCACACTGTAGTCTGCTCCCTGCTGAGATTTCCCAGAACCTTGCACCTCTGGGCCTTTGCAGTCACTGTTCTTTGCCCCCAAGAACACTGTTCCCTGCTTGAAAATGCCCTGAGCCGTAAGGTCAGAGCACCATTGACTCTGCGAGCTTAGGCCTTGTGCCCTGAAGCTCATTAAAATCCCTTCCATCCTGTACCCTTTTCTGGTCGCTTCCTCTGAGAGGTGTGCTTCCAAGAGCTTCTCAGAGGCGGCTAGGGAAACAGAGGCACAGGGCTGGATGCTTCCTCACCTGCCCCTCATAGTATCTCAAGCAAGCATCTGGTGGTGGCCCAGGACAACTGCTCCTCCCACACCTGTGCCAGGCTGTGTGTCCCCAAGGCTGCTTGTCACTCCTAGGCTCCGTGTCACTTCCTCCTGCAACTAACAGCCGCTGCTGCTCCATGGTAACAGCACTCCCCCCCCCCCCCCAGCGTGCAGCTCTAAGGCAAATGCCGTCATTAACATGAAAATGCATATGGTGTGTAGGGCTGCGGAGCCCACAGGGGTGAGTTGTCCTCTCTGGGAGGTGAGGGCAGAAGGACCCCCGACGTCAGCCCCAGCTTCTACCTTGAGCCCTGGCTGAGGGAGCCCGCAACACTGTGGGTAGTTTCAGGGAGGGCCTCGGAGTGTCCACATGCCACCATCTCCTTCTCTGCACCTCTCTTCAGCATTAGGACCTAGGTCACCCTGGCCCCCCCCCGTTGTTATAGGCTACGTCAAAGATGCACCCCAGGAACAAGTCTATTGACATACTGACAGGAGGTGCCAGGGTCTCCGCTCTGCAAGAATTACCAGCTCCATTCATTCTGCCTTCATTTGCCTGGAGCCCAGGGAGGAGCAGACACTGGTGACAGTTACACAGCAGAGACCAAGCAGATGTACCTTCCATGAGCCAGGAGCTCCTGAGTCTCCTGCCTGAGCATCCCAAGTTCCAGGGTGACAGGCAAGCACCGCTGTCCCCGGCCTCTGAATACAGACTATCAAGATCCTGACCACCCCTCCCCCCGCTTTGCCCGCCTGGGGGTTCCCTCCTGGGAAGCTGCTGTTCCTCTAGTCTCCAGCTGCACTGCCAAGAAGACCCTCTGCTGCCCAAATTCCCACCCCCAAGTGAAGTCCCTACATACCAAGGCCCCCAGACCCTCCCCCCCCCGCATCTACCGGAAAGAAAACAAGTCCAGGCCCACGGGCCTCACTGCTCTACTCGGGGTCCCTCACCCCTCATGTCTCCTGCCTGGAATTCCGAAGGGAGCACCCATGCTTGTCTTGGAGACCCAGACTACTGCTCTCCAAAGCCCGCACTCGGGGTGCCAGGCAGATGGTCTTTGGGTTCCCTCACAAGTTTCTAGAGATGAGTACTCCAGCCAGACCCTGGGCTCCTGAGTCTGGATCACGGTGGAAATTAAACCTCCAGGCTAGCCTGCTTCAGAATGTGGGTGCTTGAGGAAAACACTGCTGTGTGGAGGGTTCCCTCCCTGCCCAGGAGCCACCCCAACCTCAGGCCCAGCCGGCAGCCCCGGACAGCGCATTCGCTCACTGTCATTCACTCATGCGTTCCTTCTCTTACCCACCGGTCCATTCATTCATTCACCCATTCTCTCATTCACTCCACAGGCAGGTGCGGGCCCACCCCAGGCGCTCTGGTCCCTCCTGGGGTCTGCCAATAATGGAGACCCCGGCCTCAACCCTGAGTTCCCAACACCTGCCGGGAGAGCCACTAGATTCAGATGCTTGGGCCTGGGACACAGCAAAGTGGAGCAACCCTGTCCCCCACAGATGCCTCCACGGGAGGGAGAGCCAGGTTCCTCAGCCGCCCACGCGCGTCCTCGGCTCCCGGGATCTGGGCTCTACCCAGAGGACCTCATGTTCATTGTCTCGGCCTCAGCTCTGGCTTTGCCAGGTTCCACTTGAGCCCAGGGTGGCTGCATGGAACCAGGAAGAGGGCACCACCCAGGGAGGATGGCTCGATTCCCCGCAGCTTCTGGGCCGCAGCCTCGCCCCCGCCTCCCATAGCCCCGCGTCTTTGTAGTTACCGCTCAGCCCTGGGTCCTAGACATGTGTCCTGGCCGCAGCCGAGCTAGCCCGGCTTTGTGAGCAGGATTCCCGGTCCTGAGGTGGGAAGTTCCAGGCCAGGCCAGGGAGCCCGAAAGCGATGGGGTGGGGGGTGGGGTGCGGGACCGGGGAGATGGGGTTCCCGGTGCTCCTGGCACAGGGTGGGAGTTGGGGGGATATGGAAATGGGAGGGAGAGGGGGAGAGAGAGGAAGATGCCCGGGGAGAGGAGGGAGATGGAGGGAGATGACGGAGAGTGATGGAGGAGGAGGGAGTGGGGAGGAGGGAGGGAGAGGGGGCGGAGGACGGGAGGGGGCAGCTGGATTGAGAGCGGCACCCCCAGGGCGGAGGAGGGTGCAGGGGAAGGTGAGTGGGGGCTGGGACGCAGGGGTGTAGGTGGAGGGGCGTGGGGGAGGAACCCAGAGGGCTCAGGTGCAAGGGAGGGGTGTAGGGCTTGGGGGGGTGTGCAGGTGTAGAAAGAAGGGTACAAAAAAGGGCTCAGAAGCGCAAGAGGCAGGGCGTCGGGGTGCAGGAGCGGGTGCAGGGGTGGGCGCGGGGCGCGGGGCCCACCTTTGTGCACGCCCGTGTGCGGGTCCTTGAGCACCGTCAGCTCGTAGATGCGGCCGAACTGCTCAAAGAGAGGCTTGAGGTCCTGTTCGTGCAGGTGGCGCGGGATCTGGCCCACGAAGAGCTTGATGGCGTCCAGGTCCTTCATGCCGTCGGGCCGCGCCCCGGGGCGCTCGGGCCCGCTGCCGCCCACCGGCCAGGCCCGGGCAGAAGCTGCGGTTGCCGCCGCGTCGCTCGGTCAGCGGCCCCGCCCGCGCGCGACTACGCCGCAGCGCCCCCGGTGGCCGCCGTGGGCACTGCAGGGGTGGGCGGCGCCGGCCGCGGGGAAACTGAGGCCCTGGGGTGCCTGAGCCTTGCAAGTGCATAGGGGAACTGAACCTCGGGGCTTTCAGAGATATGGAGACTCGAGAGAGAAACTGAGGCCCAGAGGTCCTGAAGGTCCGGGGCTGCAGGCTGGACGTGCCTCTCAGAAAGACTGACAGGTCTCCCCACGCTGGCCTTGGCCTCCTTAGTGGCCAACAGCCATGAGATCTGCCTGCCTGGCAGCCAGGTACACTTCGGAATCTGAGGCAGGAGGATGGGGAGTTCTGGGCTAGCCTGGGCTACGTGGTAAAAGCCAGTGTCAACACAAAACTAGTCAGCAAGCAATGAGCAGCCGTGGAAGGGGCCTGTGGCCCTGAAAACAGTAGGTGCATAATGAAAACCGGTCTGTGGTATGGACATGGCAGGACATGGGCAGGGCGATGACAGCCAAGGAGGGCAGGGAAACTTTCAGGCCAGTAGAGGAGAGAAGCAGCTGCCCAGGCTGGCCTTGCAGTCAATCCTCCTCCTGCATTTCTAGACTCCCGGGGTAGACACACGCCACCATGCCCGGCTCATGTTTTTACTTTAAAATGAAGTTCCTAGTGCCATGGATGCCTGTGCCAAAGACACCACCGCACCCATGCTGTGTGGAGTCAAAACAGCCAAGTTTGCTGGGTGAGGTGGCGCACACCTTTAATCTTAGCCGGCACTCCCCGAGGCAGAGGCTGGGGGTTGCTGTGAGTTCGAGGCCATCCTGGGCTACACAGTGAATCCAGGCCAGCCAAGGCTACGTCAAGAGAACCTATTTATCACAATTGCTGGTGTGTTCGTTTTAATCGCTGTAATAGGATATTCTCTATTTTGTTTGTTTTTTTGAGACAGGGTTTCTCTGTGTAACCCTACCTGTCCTGGAATTCTCTCTGTAGACCAGGCTGATTTCGAACTCGCATAGATCTGCCTCCTGAGTCCTGAGATTAAGGGCATGTACGACCACCGCCTCTGTATTTTCTCTATGTTGATGACTGAATTTGGGGCTTTTTGTTTCCAGGAGAGGTAGAGGCAAGAGGATCAGGGATTCAAGATCATGCTTGGCTACATGGAGTTGGAGGCTAGCCTGGGTTACATGAGACAGTGTCTCAAGTACGTAAAAGAATTAAGTAGGTGAGTCCTGGTCCTGTAATTTGCTTCTGTAAAAAGATTTTCCTATGTGAGGGAATGTTGCCTGCAATGCCTGCGTGTGCAATACCCACACAGGCCAGAAGGGGACATCACACACACACACACACACACACACACACACACACACACACACACACCCGGAGCTGGAGTTTTGGTGTGCTGGGAACCAAGTCAGAGCCTCTGCAGAAGCAGCCGGTGCTGTGAGCACTGCGCTGTCTCTCCAGCCCCTGTAGTTTGTTTTAAAGAGCAGGAACTAAAGCCCAGAGCGACTGACCCTTGTGCAAGGTCGCGCAGCAGGGTGCTGGAGTCTGACGGCAGCTCTGGAAGCACAGAAGTCCCCCCATCCCGCATGTCATCCCCACGCCCCAGGCCTCCCTGCCTCAGTTCCTTCATTTGCTATGGACACCAGCGAGAGAAGGGACTGGCTTCCTGTGGACCTGGCCTCACAATGGCGGCTGGCTGCCCCCATCATGCCTTGCAGACCCAGAGCCAACCCGGAGCCACTGCAAACGGGCTGGCTCAGGAGCAAGGTGGGTGAGGCCCGGGATCAGGAGTCACATATGAGCATCCCATCCTCTGCCCGATCGGCCGGGGAGGCTGAGAGATGCTGAGGCTGGTCCTCAGACGAGGAGCTGTTTCCATGGAGACCAGAGCAGGATGCCAGGAGCTCTGTGGGCCTCTGAGCTGTGAGAATCGTTAAAAAGCATCAAAAGAGGGGACCAGGCCTCCAGGGAGCTGAGGAAGCTGTTTGAAGGTGGGGTCCTGACATCCGCCCTGCAGCTGTCACCCACCTGCCCCAACAATGCCATCCACCTGCCTCAACATCAGCTCTGGGATCAAGGGCTTGAGCCAGTTTTAAAGACATCGAAGTCCCCAAAACACGTGGGTGGGAGCAGGGAGGAGGCAAGCAGATCTGGCACGTTAGCACCTGTTTGGGGGATCCCCTCCCTGCCACCTCCAAACCCCGAAGGACTTGATGCCTCCACAGCTATGCTGCAAGAGGCTGGTGGGTGCTGGTCTGTGGGAGACAGGAAGTGTGTGGGTGCTTCTTCACCTTGTCTGGGACTGTTGCATGGATGTGTGCTCTGCCCTGTGCATATGCTCAGGTGAGTGGACTGTTCCGGAACTCACCTCAGCCTCAGCTGCCAATTTTGAGGGCTGATCGGCTCTCTGGAGTAGGGTCGAGCCCTGCCGCCCAATTGTGACAGGCACAAGTCCACAGAGAACACTTGCAACAGTAACCCCCGCTCAGGGTGAAGGGGTGGGAGGGGCCCGCTTTCCTCCCAGGATTTGGACCTGGCACCCATCTGTCACTCAGCTACCCTTCCCTGAGGTTACAGGGTGGGACCACTGTGTGCCCAGTGTCCACCTGTCCAGCCCAGCACAGGTACCTGTGGATGCCTGACTTATAACCTCTTTTTTGGTCTTTGAAGCAGGGTCTCATGTAGACCAGGCTGGCCCCAAATTCACCATGTAGCCAAGGATGACCCAGACTGATCCTCCTGCCCTCACCTCAAGTGTCAGGAAGTCAGGCATGCACCACTATGGCCAATCTATGCAGTCAGTGTGGTAGTGTAGGCCCGCCTGTCACTCCAGCTCCTGGCCACCTGTGGCAGGATTGCCACAATGACAGCAGTGACACCCTCCTCAGAAGCAGGATGGAGGGGCTGGCATCCACCACCGTGTCTCTGGGATTTGACCTGGGATCTCCAGCACCCATGTAAGAAACTAGTAACCCAATTTGTGGACACCAAGGCCAAAGCCTGGCTAAGGGCTTGGAAGCCCTGACTCAAAGATAAGGTAGAGGGCTTAGTGGGTGATGGTGCTTGCCTCCAAGCCTGACAGTCTGGGTTTCCCAGGACCCACACAGGAGAGCCTCCATGTGTGTGCTGCTGGGGCGGCACTTGGAAGCTGCAGCAGCCTCCAGGGACCTTTCAGGACTTGCTGGTCAAGGTGTCCCAGCCCCATGGTGGACTCCGGGGCACCACGGCCCCTGCCCTGCTCCAAGGCCTTGGCCAAATCCCACTCTGATTGCCTCTGTGGTCCTCCTGGGTCTGTTTCCCCTTCGATGGTCGGGCGCGAGCTGTTGTAGGATATTTGATCTGTGACTGGGCAAACAGAAGTTCCTTTTACAGTGAGCAGTCCTGCCATGAGCTGAGTGGACAGGCCCTGCCCTCGCAGCACCGAATGTCTGCTGACATGTTACAAGACAGGGACTTGAGCAGCAGGTAGAGTCTGTGTCGAGGAGGCTAGACCAGTAGCCAGCCAGGATCCCAGGAGGCACAGGGCCCTGGTGCGAGCTTGGCAGGGGCAGCCTCAGCACAGGGTGACCCCTGCCCAATGTGACATTTCCACAACGTCTCTGCCAAGAACCTGTACAGTGCCAGAGAGCAGGCAGGGCCTGGGGGGACGGCCCCACAGGACAGCAGACCCGGTGTTCCCAGGACACCTGCAGCGTGCTCCTTCAATATGGCTTTTATTTTGTAACCCGCCAACTGCAGACCCCCAGCCACTCCGGCAGTCACCCATCCCTATGACCTGTCGGGACAGAGGGAGGCGGCACATGCGCTGTGTCCGACTTTTCCCTGGCAGGCGGGGTGGCACTGGCCTCAGACCCATAACCAGCTGCCGGGACAAGGGTAGAGAAGGAGGCTGTGCACAGGCACAGTCCACAGGCGACTGTTCAGGGCCAGGGCGGCGGGCTGACCTTACAGCCCTATGACACGAGTGCCACCAGGGTGGCGGCCAATGCTGTGGCAGGACAAAGGCAGCCTGCAGAGGGTTGGGGTGAACCAGGCCTCAGCAGGCGCTAGAAGGACGCAAGACGCTGGTCCCCAGCTGCCCCTCCTAGCCTGACACCTCCTGGGTCATATTGCTATCGAATCGATTCACCGTGGGGTCCCTGAGGTCGTCTGCCAGCACGGATGTCCTCCCCTCCCCCCGAAAGCTGTGCTGTTGGTGGGGACACCGAGGGCTGTGCTGGGCCTGGCTGTTCCATCAGACACTGTGACTGGCTCCCCAGAATGCATCACAGGCAGGGAAACTAAGGTGGGGGATGGGCAGGGAGACCTCAGGGCTGCATTCTCTGACCAGGCCGCTCCAGCCCTGTCACCAGCACCTGGGCCGAGGGAAAAGGGACACTTGCATGAGGGGAGGGGATGTGGAGGCCGGAACCTCCAGTGGCTCAGATCCAGCGGGGGACCAGGTGGGTCCCGTGGTGGCTGAGGTGGCAACAGGCGGGACAGGGGGGTGGGGAAGAACACGGAGACAGGTCAGGTGCTGGCCAGCGCCAGGGAGAGGCAGGCTGACTGGGACCGCCTCTGAGATGCGGGGCGCAGGTGCTGGGATCTGGCCACTGGGGAAGCCAACACTGGCGTGTGGCCCTTCAGTGCACGTGGCCGGGGCCACCATCCGTCCCAGTGGGCTCTTCTGTGGGTCAGCAGGGCTCTCCTCTGGGGAAGTTCAAGGAAATGGACAGGGAGAGGCAGCCCTGCGTCCCAGTGGCCGAGAGCCCTGTGCTTCGGGCTGGCGCTCCGGGTGTCTGGGCCAGTCCTCCCCGGCCACCTGCGCACAGCTGCTGTCACTGCGCCTTGGCCTTGAGCAGCAGTCTCTGCACCGTCTTGTACAGCACGTGGAAGTGCTGGTGGGGGACACACTTGTGAGGAGACGGGGACACCAGAGCGCTCCCCCCCAACCCCACAGCGCAGCTCACCTGGACGGCTGTGTATGCCATGCCGAGGTATGCCCCAATGCACACAGCAAGCAGCAGGTCGAAGATGGCTGGCTTGACCCTGAGGGACAGTCCACAGGGTCAAGGACAGCAGAGTGGTCACCCCCAAACACCGTGGTCCCCGGCTGTGGCCCTGTACTCACCTGTACGCGTTCATCACCTGCTTTAGCTGGTCATAAAAGACGAACTCGGGGTCCCTGCAGAGAGACCCCAGCTCAGAGCCTCTCCTGACACAGCTCCCTGGAGTGAAAGCACTTGGGAGGCTGATGCAGAAGCATAACAGGTCTTGAGGCTGGCCCAGAGCTCAACTCAGAAAGCTAAAATATGTTTGAAGTAGCCAAGGAGGGAGCTAGAAACTTCCCTGGCCCGAAAGCCTTCCTAGGCCTGGCGTCCACGGTGCCCCTTGGCCTGGTCCTGTTTGGACTGAGTCTCCTGGCTGGGAGAGGCAGCGGGCAGCCAGGGCTGTGCTCACCGCTTGTCAGCCTTCACGTGGTGCTGCCGCACGTCCTTCAGGTAGCGGCTCAGGAAGTGCTCCAGCGTGCTCAGGAACGTCCCGTCCTTGTCCAGCAGCTGCGCGGCCCGGGGCTGGTTGGTGAGCCAGTCCATGACGGACTCCAGCTGCTCCTGCTGGACCTGCTGGGGGCATTGCAGGCTGGGTCACCCTACGGGCGCAGCACGGCTCCCCGGCCCCACCCAATGCCCGCACTTTACCATCTGCTCTGTGAACACCGGCATGTCTGGGGGCGTCCCCTGTGGAGGGAGGCAGGGTGTGAGCTGGGCAGGCAGGGGTGTGCGCACACACGGGGCCAGGAGCACACGGCTCACCTTCTCCGTCAGGTTATAGATGACCCGGGTCAGGGCCTCAGCGATGATCCGCGTGTTCCGAGTCAAGGTCTTGGAGTCCACTCGGGACCTTGGGGACACAGGGACAGGCTTCTTAGGCTGAGTGGGCAGTCCCTGGTGCCTGGGCTCTGGGGAGAGCTGGTCGCAGAGGCAGGGCCAAGGAGTGTCTGCCCACAGCCTCCACCCAGGGCAGGCCGCCAGGGTCCAGTGTGGTGGGGGTGCCACAGGCATGGTGTGGGGAGAGAGCAGCTTGTGCAGGGCCCGGGACCCCCCTCAGAGAATGGCTGTGCCAGGGCCCCTTTGGGAGTGACTGAGTGACCTTCCTTCAACCAGCAGCCAGCCTGATGGGGTCCCAGGGGCCCTCCTCACTGCCGGCTTCCAGGTGTGTGACTGGCTGCTGGCCCTCCCACAGACCACCCCTACCCCGTTCCACACAGTCATCTAGAAGATGGCTCTGGGCCCCCAGGGATGGTCACTAATTGATGCACACCCCGAGAGTTCTCTCTTTGGACAGTGACGAGAGGTGGACCTTACAGGGGGTCCAGAAGGAGGCCCCAGAGAAGGTCCTAAAAGTTGTCTACTGCAGAAGGCTCTAGAAGGAAGGAAACCCCAGGAAGGTGCAGGAAAATGCCAGCACTCTTCCCCCACCAGGCCCAGGGAAGGTGCTAAAAGGAAGGCCACCCTCCTCCGTGAAGAGACTGTTAGAGACGACGATCGGAGAACATTCTGCTGATGCTTAGGCCCCTGGCGCTTGTAAAGGAACCTGAGAACCCCAGAGCCCGGGAGGCGCCCTTCACCAGCCAGGGCCCGCTCACCGCACATCCATGATGCTGCTGCGTGGCCCGGCGCGGTGGCTCTCCAGGTGTGACAGCGTGAAGGCGGGCAGCCTGCGGATGGCGAAGCGCTCGTGCTCCCAGGCTAGCACGTCATCCGCCAGGTTGATCTTCTTGTGCACCATGGAGAAGCTGACATCCGGGAACTGGTGGGTGGCCACCGTCTCCAGCTCACGCAGGAAAGCGTGCTGCAGCGTCCCCTCTCGTGGTGGCTTGGACACATGCAAGCGCAGGTGGCTGCCGCGGCCCACGGTGTCCAGGCACAGCACGAAGGCCACGTTGTCCTGCAGCAGGCTGGAGTCTGTGGGGTGTGGCAAGGCAGCAGGTGTTAAGAGGGGAGGGCCCGCCCACCACACCCAGGCCCGCCCAGCGGTGCACCTCGGCCCGCCCACCTGTGTGGTCCAGGCTGTCCTCCAGCCAGCGCTTGGTGCCCTGGTAGTTGAACTTGCCCCCGCCGGATGCAAAGAACAGGAGGTTGTACCTGCAGATGCAGATGTTTCAAGGGCGACACAGCCAGGCCACAGGTCCCCAACCAGGACGCAGGGCAACCTCAGATCTCTCTAGACCCACCCCCAGGTGACCCCCTGGGGAGCCACTAGGCCAGGGGCTCCCCAAATGTGACAGCCACACGTTCCCGGAGGCTGCAGGGACCCCAGGAGAGCAGCTGAGGACACAATCTTCCACAGAGGAAGGAGCCCTGACTCCACGCACCCCCACCTCCCCAGATGGCAAGGGCTGGCTGACACACCTTGGCTACACAGACCTCAAATTTCACCTGCCTGGGATCCACAGCCAGGTCACTGCGCCCGAGCTGTCCCTGACCTGTACTGCTGACTGCCCACTGTCACACAGGGCTACCGAGAGAGCCAGGCCTGGGGAGGCCACTGGTGCAGGCCATGAGGGACAGATGCAGCCGGGTGGGTGAGAGCAAAGCTGCCTCCCGCCCGGCTTTAAAGAAGTGACACTCCCCTCAGCCCCGTCTAAAGACCTACTGCCCTGTGCCCCAAAGTTCTCGGCACACTGGCTGCCACTCTGGCAGCTGCAATCACAGCCCTAGCTCACAAATGCTGAGACTACGCCCGAGTACCAGACCCACGGCCAACCCAGTGTGACTGCCACAGCTGTGGGCACACTGCAGGGGGAGGGCAGGTCCCTTCCGAGCCCAGGAGTGTCAGCCAAGGGGAGACACTGGCGCAGATGGTCTGTGCACTCCCGGGGGTGGCTGGATGGCGCCCCATGGGCACTCACGCTGCATGTGTGCGCTTGTAGGTGTAGAGGCGGGAGAAGAGTCGCGCCAGCTCCAGCAGCACCGAGATGCCGCTCCCATTTGAGTCGGCGCCCAGCGACAGCCACTGTGGACAAAGGGCCTGTCAGTCACGCCTCCTGTGGGCCAGGCCCGCACACTCGGTGCCAGAGCCACAGGGCACAAGCAGTTAGGGCTGAGCATGGTGGCCACACCTTTAACCCCAACACCTGGGAGGCTGAGACAGGGGGATTTCTCTGAGTTCCAAGACAGCCAGAGCTGCAAAGAGAGGCCATCTAAACAAACAAGTCATGGGTGGCTGGAGAGATAGCTCAGTGGTTAAGAGCACTGGCTGCCCTTCCAGAGGTTCTGAGTTCAATTCCCAGCCACCACATGGTGGCTATAAAGCTCTATAATGAGATCTGGCACCCTCTTCTGGTGTGCAAGCACACATTCAGGCAGAACACTATATACATAATAAACACATCTTAAAAAAAAAAAAAAAGCCATGGACAGTTGGGAAGTCTACCTTTGGAGGCTCTGGGGACAGATGGACAAGCTGGGACTTGGGGACCTGGTGGCACTGGTGCCAAGTGTGGTGGTTTGAATAAGAATGGCCCCTAAAGGATTGGCTATCTCAGTGCCTAGTCACCAGTGGCCCTACTTGAGAACTAGAAGGCATGTGCCACTGTGGTGGGCTATGATGTGTCCAAAGTCCATGCCAGGCCCAGTCTGTCTCTCTGCCTGCACATCATCAGGACATAGCTCAGCTGCTGTGACACACCTACCTGCCACCATGGCAATGGACTAACCCCCTGAAACTAAGCCAGCACCAATTAAAGCTGTTTTTTCTGCTATTGTTTGTTTTTGTGTGAGACAGGGTTTATCTGTGTAGCCTTGGCTGTCCTGGACTCACTTTGTAGACCAGGCTAACCTCGAACTCACAGAGCTTCACCTGTCTCTGCCTCCCGAGTGCTGGGATTACAGGCACGTGGCACCATGCCCTGCTTAAAGCAGGTTTTATAAACATGGCCAAGGTCATGGCATCTCCTCACTGTGCTACAACAGTGACTAGGCCACTTGAGAACAGGTCTGGCATTCTGGGTCCCATTCTCTATCACCCACCATGCTGGCTCTGCGGGCAGCTGGCAGACACTGCCTGCAGAGCCTGTGAGGTGTCCCTGACCCCATGCACCAGGGTACTCACCGGGGCCACCCCAAAGGCGTCATAGTGAGCCACGATGACAATGGTGGGGAGGTCCTCACCTCCCAGCCCCGTCAGCCGTCCCTGCGAAGAGACAGCGATGGACCCCAGATGCCCAAGACAGCTTGGCTGTGGTTCCTGAGGGTCCCCCTGCTGTGCTGTGAGCTCTGACACCAGGGGCAGGTGCCGGCAGCACGCAGAGCCTGACTGTCCCCTCAGCACTGTCCCTCGGGGAGGCACAGGGCAACGCAAAGGCTTCTAGAGTCCAAACAGTGGTGCAGCCTCGCTGGGTGGCCCCAGTGAACAGGAGCTTGGCCCAGGCAGGGCTGCACTGTGAGGTGGCAGCGCCCGCGTCCCCGGGACCCTTCACATGACCAGGAGCGACAGCCTGTCCATCTCATCGTCACAGCTGCTGCTGGGATGCTGAAGACGCTCACAAGCGTCCTCCCCTCGGCCGGGTCCTGCTGCAGCCAACCCACTGGCCTGCAGCCCCCTCAGAGACTCAGAACACCCCTTGGCCCAGAACTAAAAAAGTGGGGTTTTCTTTTCCCTTTATTAAAACAGGGTCTCCTATACCTCAAGGCCAGCCTTGAACTCACCGGTAGCCCAGGACGGCCCTGCACTCCTGACCCTTCTGCCTCAGCCGTCCAGGCGTGTGTTACCACACCTGACTGTGATCCTGCGGCTGGAGCCCAGGTCTCTGCGGGCTGGGTGAGCGTGGCCCACCAAGCCACAGCCTAAGCCTGAAGTAGTTCCTCGGTCCCCACCACCTCCTGTGCGAAGCGGAGGGGCGACAGGACTCTGGGATCGGGGCTCGGACTGTGCGGAGGCGAAGGGGCAGGTGGGCGGGGACGGCAAGGTGGGGCTCACCTCCACACTGGTGATAAGCCAGTCGCTCACCGCCTGGCTCTGCGCTCCGCTGGTCACCATCTGGAAACCGTTGGCTGTGGCCGTGTGCAGCAGCACTGAGGGCAGAGGGGCGGGTCACCGTGGCTGGCGCCACAGCTGGGGTGGAGACTGCAGACACAGAGCTCAGGACGGCCCTGGCCACACATGTGGGGACCCCAGGGCCCAACCCGCCCTCCAGAGACCTGACTCACCTTCAGCAGCGGAGGCGGAGCCCTGTGAGGCAGAGGCGGCCTGTGTCTGCTCATAGATGGCCAGCAGGGCCTCGTCCTCCACGGCAAAGTACACGGGGACCACCGTCTCCATGGCCAGCATCTCAGGCTCGACCTCCATGAATTGCTGTGGAGACCATACGAGTTCAGGGGCCCGCAGCAGCCTGCCTGTCTCCCCCATCTAAGCTCCCTTCCTGAAGGGAGGACGCCGCCCAGTGTCGCCAGGGACAAGCCACCTTCTGCAGGGCTCAAAAGGTCAAGCAAGTGCCTAAAACACACAGCAGATGCAACCCAAGGGGCAGGGATGGGGCCTGCGACATGGGCTCACCCGGACAACGTCCTGGGGCACAGCAGCCATGGCACGGGGCAGGATGATGACCACGGCGCCCGCTGACTGTCGCAGGGCCTTCTGGTAGTGCTCGTAGGAGAAGTCCAGAAGCCGCATGAGCACGCAGCGGCGGCTTAGCACGTCTGCATCCACTGTGCGTGCCTCCGTGTTGAGAACTGCATTCCGTGTGCCTGTGGGGGGGTCACAGGGTCATGGGGTCACGACCTGGGGCCCTGCACCCATCGCCGCCGGCTCTACTGGTTCCTCCACACCAGCACACAGGCTGTGGGGGTGGGGCTCTTTTGAGCCCGGGAGGCCCAGCCAGCTCCTCAGGGGTCTGTACTGCATAGGTCTGAGGACGAAGGTGACCGCCACAGACGTCTGACCAGAGTGAGCAGCTCCCTCCAAGAACTAGGGTCCCCTGGGCCCTGGGATCCACTTTCGGCCAGACTGGGTGGCCCAGCACGAGGCCCGTGCTGCATACATACCCAGCTCTCACAGGGTTTTGGCAGGCAGCACCTCTAGATGCTGGGAGCAGTGAGCACTGCACAGACTGAGGGTCACTGCTCAGTGTTGGGGGGACTCGATCCTGCTGGGGTCTCCAGGGTGCTCACCTGGACACTGACACCCAAACTAACATCCGAGGCCCGAGTGTCGAAGGCACGTGATGGCTGGGTCTGGGACAGCTCATGCGGGGCCTTCCAGACCATGTGGGGTAAACCGCACCGCAGGGCAGCTGCTGGAGGGGTCCAGGCGCCCACAGGCGGAGACCCCTCGAGAAGCATAGATAAAAATGACTGTCACCCAGACCCACAGGGAGCCTCAGGCCCAGGGCTAGCCAAGGCCCTGAGCCCACTTTCCAGAACTACAGAATCTGAAGGTGGGGGTGCAGGGGGACTGTCCTAGAAGCCAGCACAGGCCAGGCACCCCATGACAGTCTACTCCCTCCAGGGGAGGCAACACCCCTCCCACGCCAGCTCTTCCTCCAGGTCCCTGCAGTGTCTGTCCCCCAGCAGGCGAGGAGTGACAGGGCAGCAGCACTGAGCTCCGCTCTCCACGGGATGTGACGCGGAGCCCCCGTGGGCTCTGCCTGCCAGCACCAGGACTCCCCAAACGACTGTGTTACCCATAGGAGGGTGCCAGCCAGGGTCACGGACCCCCCCAAGAGTTCGACCCTCTGAGGACAACAGGGTCAGCTCAGGGATGCCATGACGGCAGGCACAGCACAGTCAACAGGCTTCTCCCCCTTGCTGGACACTCAGCTCGGTACTGTCAGTGACTGTGTCCCCATAAGACTTCATCCACAACCGATGAGGAGGCCACGCCTCATCAGTTGGCTCCAGGAGGTGAAGTTGCACCTAAGGGCAATCAAGCCACTGGGGGCACTGACAAGATGCCGAAGTCCTGTCCCAAGCCCCACAGTGACAAAAAGGTGGGTCCTAAGGAAGCCAGAGTCCACAGCAGGAGGGATGGTGGCCTTGGTCACACCCCACAGGCCTCATTTCCTACCAGGGCCATTTATTTCTCAACAAAACCCAGGGGAAGTTGGGTAAGGGGAGCTGCAGCGAGGCTCGGAGGCAGCCTAAAGCTGAGGCTGCCCAAGGTTTTTCAAGACCTGCTGTGGCTGGCTGTCCAATCATGGGTCCCCAGGGGTGCAGCCAGGGCACAGGAGCCCACTAGTTCATATCCAGCCAAGATGGGTAAGAAAGTCACTCTGTGCATGCAGTCCACTGTGAACAGCTCATTCACAGGCCTGCCCACCCAAGGGACTGTGTGCCTGTGAGCCACTCACAGGGTCCAGCAGCCTTAGGGCCTGCCCTCTGGACCACAGAATGCCCCAGAACAACTGTTGTAGGAGCTCAAGACCCTATGCTGTCCAGCTCAGCAGCCACTGGCTTTGTGCGGCTTCGTGGGTGTGTCCCCTGGTCACCCAGTGGCATCCCACAGTGGACGGCTTAACGGGTGGTCCTTCAGAAGACACCAGGCTATAAGAAACTGCAAGCAAGTGCTAACCACGCTGGGACACCTGGCCACCTATTTCTGGTCCTGTGGACCTGGCCTGGGATGAGACCCTCACCCTAGTATGCCCTGGTTACCAGGGCACTGTTCTGGGCCCTGCAAGGTGCTGGGCACACACACCCAGCTTCCACCCCTTGAAGCGCCCTAAGTTGGAGCAGCCATCTGACTCCTGAAATGGCAACATTGCTTTAAAGAGAATTTAACATGATTCTGGGCACGAAGGCCCATGGGATCCAGGTAGAGTAGGGCTGGCGCACATGCTTCAGTGGGGGCCATCCTGACGTTCAGGGGCACACTGAACCTCAAGGCTAGAAGGCAAACCAAAGACCAGAAGCTTCTGGAAGGCCAGACAGCACAAGCAGGAAGTAAGATGCTTTGAGACCCAAAACCTAGGTGTAGGGACAGAGACCCCAGGGAACCCTGACGAGGGGGCAGGGAGCAGAGCAAAAGGGGGAAAGAGCAGTGCTGTGGGAATCAAGGTCCCAGGGGACCCCAGGACAGCAGGCCTGGGGCCAGAGACGGGCCTGAGAGGTCTGTGGCAACCGCTGACAGAAAGGGATCAGGGTGACGAGGAATCAAGGAGAAGCAAGAATCAGGGTGGCAAAGATGGGATGGGGTGACAGGAGTCAGTGTGACCGCAGGGGGACTGAGGGTCAGGGAGGGGGTGGGGTTGCCAGGAACCGGATCAGTATGTCAGTGGGGAGATCGGGTTAACAGTCTGGGGTACTCGGCATGACAGAGGGAGGATCGCAGTGACCGAGGGACCGGTGTAGCAGTGAGGGTAGGGCGGCGACAAGGGACGAGGTCAGGGGTCGCTCACCGTATGGCTGGCCCTGCAGGTCGTACTGCTGCATGCGGTACACGGTGAACTCGTGCGCGGCGTCGGCGGCGGGCAGCGGCGGCGCCACGAGCAGCAGCACGGCGGGCAAGAAAACGATGAAGCCGAGCGGCAGGCACGACGCCTTCAGTACGTTCTCCAGCACTTCGCCCGCTTCCTCCAGCATCCCGGCGGGCGGCAGGCCGCAAAGGCGGCGGCGGACGGCAACGGGAAGCGGCCGCGGCTCCGCGGACTCAGCTCGGCATGGGCGGCCGCTGAGGTCCTTCGGGCAGAGCCACGGACAGCCCGCACCTGGCCAAGGGTCCTTCGGGCAGCGCTGCGGACGGACCTGACTGTCGCGCTGCCTTCTGGGAAATGCAGTACTTTTTTGTGACCTCCGCGGGGTAAAGCTGGTAATTGTAGACAAACACTGAGACTCGTGCTACGTCCTCTCGGGAACTGTAGCAGCCTTTGGGCGCAGAGCACTCTGGGAGTTGTAGTACCACTGTCGCGCTCCCAAAACGAAGTCATGGCGGACTGTCTACCGCTACTGAACTCATAAACTCCAATTCGCAAAACGGCAATGATTTAGAAAACTATTGAAAGCAATTTACAGTAAATCTTGCTTAAGCCCTGTGTTTGGCGTTAACGTCAAAGACCCTAAAAAAAAAAATATGCAGGACGTGACCTTCTGACCCGGAAGGCAGTAGGGAGAACGTGCTTTTTCTGGTGCCTCGATTCTCCTGGGAACTGCAGTCCTGTTGGGCAAGCACAAAGGATGATGGGAACTGGAGTCGTTCTGTAGTCTCTGAAAGAAAAGGGGTTTAAAATGTGCTAAAAAGCAGATGTGGAAAATGAAGGCTCCTATCTTTGTTTTAAAGGTGCCTAGAGCCCCGATCACAAGACATGGCACCCAGGATTGTGGAATGTGTGAGCTATAGGATTTTAAAATAAATGAATAAACAGATGGTTTATAAATAAATAAATAAATAAATAAATAAATAAATAAATAAATAAATAAATACTATTCGGGGCAAGTGGTAAGGTAGTAAAGAAGAAATTGGAACCGGCTTTAACTGAGCTTTAATAGGGGGCCTAGTGTGATGGTGCGGAGGTCTTTATTTTTCCTGTTCATATTTGGGACACAATTAACCTAAGTATTTTGGTTTGCCTTTTGCAAATTCAAATCTAATTTTAGAATACCCAGTACTGCTACAGATTTGAACAGTCCTGGTAACTCAGGGTAACTTAAGGTGTGAATTAAAATTATATGTCACTCACACTTCTAGAAATACTTTAAACAAGAAATAAAAGACCAAACAATGCACCCACCCACCCACCTCCAGGCACAGGTAAGAATTCAACACACGAACTGTCGTGCCAACTTTGAGTAAGGCATACAGTAGGTGCTTAGTGGTTGTCTTTAGAAGAATGCTCCAGCACTCTGGGAGGCAGAGGCAGGTGGATCTCTGTGAGTGTGAGGCCAGCCTGGTCTACAGAATGAGTTCCGAGACAGCCAGGGCTACACAGAGAAACCCTGTCTCAAAAACCAAACAAAAACAAAGAAGAAGAAGAAAGCTCCAGGCTTGTGGAGACTGGGGGATGATGTGTGCTCTGGTGGCCTTGGCATTTGCCTGAGGTGAGGAAGTGGATATATTTTTTAAAGATTTGTTTTATTTATGTGAATACTCTGTTTTCACACACACACCAGAAGAGGGAATTAGATTCCATTACAGACAGTCATGAGCCACCATGTGGTTGCTGGGAATTGAACTCAAGACCTCTGGAAGAGCAGTCAGTGCTCTTGACCTCTGAGCCATCTCTGCAGCCCCAGGACGTGGATTTTAATACTCAGACTACTAGCCCTTTCCCCCAGGGTGATTAATCTGCAATGAATGGATGCCAGCTGTATACCACACTCCACGCTAAGCACCAAGGCAACATCCCATCAGAACTGACAGTATAGAGAAGTCACCAGATGTGTACCCAGGACCTTGAACGTTTCCCTTCCAGAGCTCAGTGACAACCACTGCTGTCCACAGAGTCGCCATCAGCGGGACTCTGTTACAATACACTGAGGAACCCGATGTGTAGGTTTCATTCATTTTAATGATTTTTTTTTTTCCAGCCATGCTTGTCTTGCGGCTGCGATATGGCACCACAGAGTCCAAGGCCTTCACAACACATCACCGTGGTTCAGTACCGGAAGGGTGAGGCAGCCGGGTTACTGGACCAGTCAAGATTGCCCCAGACCTGCGGTGAGGGGCCCCCACATACAGAGACAGAGAAGCTGAACTGGAGAGAGGCCGTGGGGGGTGGGCTGCTGTCCCAAAGGGGAAGTCACCGGGGAGACGGGTGGCTGTCCCCCCAGCTCCACCTGCTGGTCTTTCAACGTATCAACAAAGCTGCCGTCCTCAGACAAATGGCCTAGGTGTCCCCCACCACCGGGTGTGCAGACAAGGATCACAGGGGCTAGCACCCCGACACACACACACACACACACGTGACTGTGACAGAACCACAAGGCCCTGTCCTGTTCAGGAACCCGGACGCGTCACCTCCCCTTCACAGCCTGGGAGCCCCATCAAGGCCCAGAACCACTGCATCTGGCTTCAGCCGCTCTCTGCCAGACATTCGGCGGGGGGGGGGGGCGGGTCTGTGGAAGGCCCCCGGGGCTGCTGGCTTCGGGCCCCTCCTCACCTCTCCCGGGAGGGCCTAGGCGCTGCGCACCCTGGGCAACCGGCTGGTCCCAAGTCTAGGTGCTCCGGACGCTGGAAATGCTGGACAGCGGCTCCCGCATCCTGAAACTGAGGGACCTGGAAGTCCGAAAGCTGTCCCTGGGCCTCAGGGAGCTGTCGGTGGTGGACGCTCCGGAGCGAGCCTCGGTGAGCCGGGTCAGGCAGTCTCCGGGCCCGCGCAGGCCTAACCAGAGGCAGCCGCAGCACAAGAAGGCCAGCACGGCGCGCTGCACCTCGCGGCTGCGGAAGGAGTAGATGAGGGGGTTGATGGCCGAGTTGAGCACGGCGAGGGCCAGGATCCAATCCATGCCGCGCAGGTACTCCTGGGCCCAGACGTTGGAGCCAAAGATGTCGGCCAGGAGCAGGCCGAAGAGGGGCCCCCAGCACACCACGAAGGCTACCAGGATCATCAGCACCGTGTTGAGGAGCCTGCGGGCCTTGCGGCGGGCGGGGGGCCGCGGGGCCTTGCGCCCGCTGGTCCGCACCACCCGGAAGATGGCCCCGTAGAGGCCGAGGATGGCCGCCAGGATGAGGGCGAAGACGACCACGCAGAAGAGCACGTAGCCCTTGGAGTAGAGGGGCAGCAGGCTGGAGCAGCGCGGGAAGGCGCACACGCAGTTCCAGCCCAGCAGGGGCAGCAGGCCCAGGGTGGCGGCCAGCAGCCAGCACAGGCCGATGCAGCCGTACACGCGGCCGCTCTTGGTGGCGCCGCTCTCGGCCACGCGCACCATGGTGGCGAAGCGCTCGGCGGCCGTGAAGAGCAGGCTGAAGGTGGAGGCGGCCAGCGCGGCGAAGAGCAGGCCCTCGCGCAGGAACCAGTGCGCCGGCGCCAGGCGGAAGGTGCGCGCCCCCGACAGCAGCACGTTGGCCACGTAGGCCAGGCCGGTGAGCAGGTCGCTGAGCGTGATGTTGAGCAGGCAGTAGTAGACCCAGCGGCGCGAGCGCATGCGGCTGGCGATGGCGGCCAGCACCAGCGCGTTCTCCAGCACCACCAGGCAGCCGGCCGCCACCGACGGCCCCCGCAGCGCGCCCAGCCCCTCCGCGGGGCCACCGCGGCCCGCCAGCCGGCCGCTGTGGTTGTAGTGGAGCACGATGAGGAGGCTGTGGCCGCCGGCCGCCAGCCGGTGGCAGGCCTCCGGGCTCACCCCCGAGGGCCAGGTGCTGGCGTTCATGGCCTCCCCTCGGGGACAGACTGAGGGAGGCCCCGGCAGGGTGGAGTCGTGGCCCCGCGGCCCCGGCCTGGGTTTCCTGTTGTTTGAAATTTCCTGTTATTCTCAAGGTGCCTCGGGGTGGGGTGGGGGTGAGGCCAGGGCAGGGAGGGGCATCCTGAGCCACAGTTGAGGTGACTCTAGGGGCTCGGGGCACCCCGCCCCTGCCCAGCTGTCCCTCCTGGCCTCAGAGGGGAGGCGTGGACCCACCAAGGGCGCCTCCTGGCACTGGCCCCGTCCTGAGAAACACCCCACCCGCCACCTTCAGCCCGACTGTTCCAAGCATACTTACACACAGCAGGTGCTCAATAAATGTCAGCTGTACACAGAAAGCGCTTCCTAAGTGTTCGCCACTTGTATACAGCAGCCAGGCTTTAATAAACGTCACCCAAACACATCAGGCACCACCCACGCACAGCAGACGCTTAGTAAATTCTTTTAAATTTTTTGGTTACTTTTAAAAAAGGTCTTCTGTGTAGGGGTGTGCGCGTGTCCATGGCAGGTGCAGAGGTCAGAGGGCAACTGGCAAGAACCGGTTCTCTCTTCCCACCATGTGGGTCCCAGAACGGAGCTCGGGTCGGCGCACTCGGCCACAGCACCTTTACCCCTGAGCCATTCACTGGGGCAGGGTCCGCTGCATGCACACAGAAGGTGCTTAACAAATGCCACCTTGAGGGTAGCAGCCTTTAATCCCAGCGCTTGGGGAACGGAGGCAGAAGGCGCAGGTGAAGTGTGCGAAGAGGCGGCGGGCGCGGCGCGGGACCCCTTCCTGCCCCCATCGTGGGGCTCTGAGCCAGCCTGGGCTACCAGAGACAGGCTGCCTCACAATAAAACAAATAACAAATGTCAGCCACCCACACACATAGTAGGTGCTGAATTAAAAAGTCACCCAGTGAAAACCAAGCCACACACACACCAGGCGCGTAACAGGAGTCTGTCGCCTGAGCTGCGGTGCTTAATAATGTTTGTCCACACGCAGCAAGTGCTTAATAAATGCCCAAATCCAGCAGGCGCTTAATCAGTGTGCAAAGACTCCTAAACTCCCCTGGCTTACTCACTCCCACTGTAGGTCGCTCCTGTAGGTCCAGGACCTTTGGCCTTCAGCTTTGCTAGGAGGGAAGCCGAGGAGGTGGTAAGTGCAAGCCAGGGAGGCAAGGGGAGCCGGGGAGGGGGTGAGCCGGGGAGGGGTGGGGGAGCCGGGGAGGTGGGGAGCCGGGGAGGGGTGGGGGAGCAGGGGAGGGAGGGGACCCGGGGAGGGGGGGAGCTGGGGAGGGGGGAGCCAGGTCTCTGTGTACGGGTGACCCTGAGTGTGGTGTGGCTCGAGTCACTGGTACCGGGT